CAGGAGGCGTAGCGATCGCACCCTCTCCCAAAACGAATGAGAATATTAGATAGAGAAAGAAAAGAGCTTTTAAGTGCTTTTTATTTGAAGCTTCTAGCTCAATTTTGAAGGAAATTACTGACTACGCCCCTAATAATAAGTTGCAGATTATTTCTGCCAAGAGCGCCATCCGAAAAACATCAAATAAGTAAAATTATAATAAGAGTAGCGGGAAGTCTAAAACATGAGCCACGTGGATAAGTACACTCCCTTCCATAAGTTTGTCATCCAGGAGACCCCTTTGAATCAATCATCAAAGCCTTAACAGTTGCGTAGCCAGCAATTGGTGACCAGGGGTTCGATTTTTTATGTATCCACAAATCTCCCCCTTCATCGGTGTACCTCACATAAAAGCATTTTTTGTATTTGTCATACATACAATTTACACCCCTCCAAAAGTTTGGCAACAATTTGATTTTCTATATTGAAATAGTTTTTGGTGAATCTTTTACTGAAAGATATTGAAATCTGGTAGCAAAATCATACATTTTATATAACAATTGTTTAATTGTTCAATGAAATCCAAATCAAGGGTTAGCATACATTGAAACAACTTTTGTAAAGGGCAAATTACAACATATCCCTAAGGAACATATTTTTTAAATTCCGGCATGCTATTCCCACACTTTTAGATGATTTTTGAAAAGAATCCAAATCAAAAGAATTTTATCTGCCATTTCATTTTGTAATAGAGGATTTCATAATGACCTCATGAACTTACAGTTAGTTTCTGAATACTAGTATATTCAAAAGCAAATATTTTTGAAGAATGTAATACTTATTTAATCATGGCGCACAATAAAAGTCGTAATGGCTGCACGAATACTCTCAATTGGTACTGACGATAGAAGTGACAGATGACAAATAGTATTGTATTAATGGAATGAAACATAGGCTTAAATTTAAAAAAACCAACAAATTGAAATAACAAAATATCCACTGTGCTCTGTAGGCTCTAACATTAAACATCTCTTTTAAATTTCAATGCCTTGCAACAAATAAAGAACAACTTATGCTGAAAAACTTATTTGTTGTGCTTTCTTTGAATTGAAAATAAAAACTTAAAAACTTAAAAACATTCCATTTTCTATCACCTTTCCGCTGATTTTATCATTAATGACGAGAATCATGAACGTTTTTAGAAATGAAAACTTGTGAATCATTATAACATGTATAAAAGTTAATTTGTTTTTGAGAAATGAACATTTTATTATCTTATTAAAGAATGCTGTCAAATCCTTTTTAGACACACGATTTGAAACTTGTTGTAGGCTAATCCTCTCGTCTGTCTGGCAAATACACTCCCCTCCAAAAGTTTGGCAACCTTAGCTCCCTGCTTCCTCTTTATATTTGAATTTTTATTTACATAACCTGCGAAGAAAATACTTATAATATTGATGAAAATGTAACTTGACTTCATTTCCAATGCCTCCAAATTTTCCCAATTTCCCTTTCTTCTAAAGATGAATTTTTGAAAATCGTCATTCCCATGTAAACAAGAGGAACCAATGGGCTCTTTATTTAATTAGTAGATTAGATTCAACCGCAGGCCATCTGTAATTAGGTCTTTGAAGTTTAAAAATCTCGATAATCTGTTGGCAATTATCAGTGGATCAGTTTTTTTAGAAAATAAAAAGTGATTATCAGGAAGCAATGCATATTGGTTCATCTCGTGATTTTTCTAATATTCTTTATGATGAACTTTTTTCCTTAACTGTGAAAATAAAATACTCATTCGAAATACTTAATAAATCTAGACTTATTTGATATAATCCTCCCGATGCCTTTGCTTTCCTCAGCAAAAGATGACTGCAACTGGCTTTTTTATTGGACAGAACTCTCCACTGCAAGTAATGTGTGTACCTTTTTAGCTTACACTTGTATCTTGTACCAGAGAAATACTCACCTAATTGCCTCCCTTGATCCATTTATTTGCTAAACATATATAATTGATGACATTAACACGATCCACTAAAGTTTGCTATTCTTGAAAATAGAGAAAACACTAAATACACTGAAACAGCAACAATTTAATCTTAAAATGATCTCCGAGATGAACGTGCATCTGCAAAAACAAAACTGATTTTTTCGCAATGGATTTGTTTTTCCTTTAAAAGTGATGGATAATAAATACCCATTCGATCAAATGCTTGTGTTTATAAATGATACATATGCTTTCAATAATAACTCATTTCAAAATGTTTCTAATATTTAATATTTGCTTTTGAGGACTTATCAGCCCCGGGGACTTAGCAAGACTTTTTTGTTTGAAATAAAACAAAACGGAGGGGCACAGATTTGAAAAAAAATTAGACAATCCCAACCCGTGCCTGAGGTTGCCAATCTTTTGAAGAGAAGTGTAAAGGAAGTAATGCGCTTGCCATTGTGATCTCCCCATGAAAAAAATTAATTCATCTGATTTTTCAAAATGAGTATACTGCCTGTATTATTACATTTATATACACACTAGTATATTGCTGACCTATATTTAGCACTGAATTGATGTATTGGCCACTTATGAGGCTCATTATTTAATCATGAAGTGTAGAGGTCAGAAGAAGTGAGTAGCACCCACAATTCTTTAATATTCTATCGTACTCGGGGATTCCCCATTACGTCATCTCTCGCATCATCTCCGATCAAATTGCAGGATGCGACCACGTGAACTTAAAATCGTGGAACTGGCGTAACATCAGTTCAATATCATCATTTTAAACCTACGGTAATACTATTGAAGTAACTCGATCCAAACTTGTAGAGAAAACTCATAAACCTAACGCGAACATTGGGAGATTCAGTTCAATGGCAAATGAGTCTTTAAAATTTGTTTTCGAACGTGCCAATATTTTTTTTATTATTCATCTATAATTTACATTTACATATTCTTTACACATCTCGGCTTGACATCCTCTTGGGTGTATATAGCCTTTTTTATATAAATATTCATATTGATAGCTGCCATCGTCATCCTCAAACATCTTTCTCTGTGTATGTATGTATGTATTATTTATTTGCGTCTAAAATTAGACAGTTACATATTATACAATGAAATAAAGAAAGTAAATTAAAACATCATTTCAATTTAATTAAGTAGTGTGAACTGTCCTAAATGGTTTAGATCATTGATACCCTGACTCTGTGCATGGAAAATATTACAAGTGATATGGAGCAGAGTGAGTCGATGCTCTCTAAGCTTGAGCTCAACCCTAAAACAAAGTCCATCTTTTCGACAAGTGACCTACGGTCTTCACTCTCCAACATTGTGAGTAGAGTCTGCCGTTCATAGGTAATTATATCACATTGTAGTATAAAATGTTCAATAGTGTCTCTTGAATTGCAGCACAATGGGCAAACCCCATTCTCAAAAGGATAAGACCCTGATTGGAGTTTAAACATAAGTTTGCACTGTTTTTTGAAAATAGGTCTCAGTTTACATATCAGCCACCATATATTTGGCTGCACGTATGAGATGGATACTGTACAAGAATAAAATGATAAGGAACTATACAAAGAACACATCATTCTAATGCTATTTGCTTCATTACAGTATAAAGCATTTCTTACAATGCGTTTAAAACCTGATTTAGAGAGATATTCTCCAGACTGTATCATGTTCATAGATAAATTGACGAAGGTGTACCGTTCGAGTGTTCTCCAAATGATGGAAAGTGGAGAGTTATGCCGTCCATTCCCCTCTATAAGCCACAGCAATCTATGTATCAAGACTGTTTTGTAAATATTATTCATTGGTAACACTATAATACTCCAGAAGAACATCATCCTCGAGAAATCTATCTGTCTTCTGATTGAAAGCCATCCAAGACCTGAAGCTGCTATGGGGTTCGGCGAACTTTTGGGAAGTGACTGAATTCTTCTTCCGATTTCACGGTGTGATATTTCCATTTGCTCTATTTCGTGAATACTATAGTCTATTACCTGGCAACCGTACAGTAGCTTACTCATTGAGAAAGTCCAATATAACTTACTGGCCATTAATGGGCAAAGGCCTCCTGTTAAAGAGCCAAGCCCCAATAACGAAAAATATTTCTGTTTTGATTTGCATATCGTTTGCTTTACAAAATCATTGTGGTTCCCAAGGGGTATCCCGACGTGCAGCTCCCCTGTTTTTTGTTGAATTGCACTGGGGCCAAGTAAAGCGGTATCTTTGCCGTCGTTGGGTCTGCCGAAAATAAGGAGCGAGCATTTCCCTGGGTGGAAAGTAATTCGCCAGTATGAGCTGTAATTCCACACGATGCTTAATAGTCTGTTCATATTCTGCATGCTAAGAGATAAAAGTGATAGGTCATCTGCGTACGCAACTACTGAGACATCAGTGCCACCTATACGTACTCCACATTTCTCACCCACAATATCATACAAGAGATCTGCGAGGTAGAATTGGTAGACAATCATCGACATCACCCCTCCCTGATGGACACCCTGTTCGACATTAAAACTGCTAGAACATTCACCGTCATATAAAATTGAACAGTTATAAGTTTTGTAAGACGTGTACATTATTCTCCAGAACTTTCCATTCATGCCGCATCTGTAAAGTTTGTATAGAAATCCATCAATCCACATTGAATTGAAGGCTTTGCGCACGTCCAATAGAGAACAATATACGGTAGAACCCTTATCCCTACAATGGGATATAGCTTCCTGTAATAAGAACGAAGTGTGAAGTGAAGAGCAGGAATCTATCGAGGCACCCTGTAGTTGTGGGATGTGTGCCAGGAAACGATGTTTACTGCGGCTGAGCAGCACATTGTCAAATAACTTCCGCAACGAGGACATCAGAGTTACATCACGGTAGTGGTCCTGATCTAGTGGGTCTTTATTCCCACCCTTAAACAATGGTATGCGTAGTCCGATACAAAGACCCCAGGGGATATGCTCATGCTTACGGATAATATTAAAAAATACACAAAGTACTGATACTAGGTTTGGGCCGCCGAATTTTAGGTGTTCAGCTGAGATTTTATCGCATCCGCTCGCACGATTTGTGTTAAGAGCCTTAGAGCATCATTAGTTTCGTCCTCAGTGATTGGCGTATCAAGAATCCCGTCTTTGTTCGGCATCGATTCTGTCCTCAATGAAGTCACCCGCCGTTGGATGTAATCGTGGAATTGTTCGTTAAAATGTGGGGATTTTCCAGGTGTAGCTAGTTTTGAGAAATGCTTCATCCACGCATTGCGAATTTCAGATGGGTCCGATAAAATTACACCATCCTCATCCCGTATAGAGTTAATCCTTTGTGATTTAGTTCCCCGACTCCTAGAGACCAGATGCCAATAAAGTCGTTGATCTATGGCGTCGTCTTGTAGTTTGTCCAGCTCTTTTTGTTCAAAATCGCGTTGCGCCTGAGAGTAAGCCTTCTTAAAGGCTTTGTTAGCAGCCTTATAACACAAAAGTACCTCATTGTCTGACTGACGTGGGCGCCCTTCACTCACCCATGTGCGCCATGCGACATTCTTGGTTTTTACCAGATGTGACAGATTAGGATTCCAGAAAGATTTCTGATGCTTCCGGAATTTCTTGATAGGCACATCACAGGAAGATTTGATAATCGTATCCACTAATGATTCACTAAAACTGTCAATTTGTTCATTCCTGATATCATTGGTTTTTAAAAGATGTCGCCCTTGTGTAAGTAAAGGTTCAATGTTACGTTCAAGTCTCGTCGTGTAAAAGGACGTAATCTCGTCATCGGACAGCTTGTTCCAAGCAAACTGCTCACTGGGGGGTTTGGCACGCACAATGGGTACAATATTATATAAATCAAGTTTTGATAGAATAACAAGATGATCGGATGACAAGTCTGGAGAATCCTCAAACACTTCACAGTATGTTACATTACCCACTAATTCATGTGATATAGCGATGTGATCGATGTATGACGTTTGACCTGTGTTAATATGTGATCTAAATGTGTATGTTGGTCCTACTGTGTCATTCATCATATATGTGGCTATTTGAAGGAGTGTTTTAATGCTCATTCCAAGCAAAAAGACCGAGAACAACTTAAGGGCAACATCCAAAGAGAATTCCAAAACATATCCACCGGAATTATTATCAAATGTGATGAACAATGTAGCAGTACGGATACAGGCTGTCATCGAAATATGAGGTTACATCGATTATGTGCTGTAAAAGGCAAAGGGTTAAAGCATCAAAAAGAAGAGACTGAAATAAAAATGGTGTATTGGGGAGAAAACTTTCATGTTTTGGCTACATGACCATGCAAAAAATGTCTGAAAATATTGATTGGTTTATCTGTGCTCTTGATATACTTTTGGGTACATTTTTTTGAGACACCCTTCATGTGATGAAGATTTAGGTATTGTATAATCACTTATCACATGTGTCTGTCATATATAAAACGGTCGCCCAAGTTGATCTAATGAATATTCATAATTCACACTACCCTACCCCGTGACCACGATTAAAAGGGAAACAGTGTACAGCTAAGTTGCAAATGGAGGACGTGGGTTTAATTCTATATTTCTGAACGTAAAATACATTTTACATTTATTTCTAGTGTTCTACCAGACATAGAATTGATTCATCAAGCAGTTTGTAGAATATTGTTGGGAAAAAAACACTATAGGCAAAGATAGATAATAGTGGGCGCAGTGAAGCAAAACACGAATGCAATACACGATACATTTCAGTAAATCTATCAACGTACAGGGAGCATGTAAGTTTCCCTTCGAAAATGTTACATTGATAGGTACCAAAAAAAACGTGTCATCGTTTTCTAGTATGTTATTCAACTGTATTTTTGTGAATTTGAACAAAACATATTAAATGATCGGTTTTTGAGGACGGTAGTGAATTAGACCATTCGAGGGGTTATGTAGAAAGATTCTTCACATGTAGTTCAGGCAATTTTAATTATTCTGAGTAGCGGATAGGCATTAATACTGATAGCGGATAGTCATTTATATTAACGTGTTAATATTTAATTTCGTTATTTTATTTCAATTTGATACCTTAGTAACACGTATAATCTAGTGTTCTTGTTAATTTAATGACTAAAATGCATACGACCTGAAAGCCATTGTCTAAATCTACAAAATAATGTTTACTTTATTTGGATTAAATAACAATTGATGACACCTCAAAGCATCAACAGGCGGCCTTTTTAACATTACTTTCACTGTATGTCTGTATGATCAGCTTACTTTCTCGCTCCCTGTACTATTGAACAATTTACATTCCTTGTACCCTGTATTGATCAACTTTTGCAACTATGTACCGTGTACTATGAAATATCAAATATTTAAAAATTTAAAACGATATTATTCACATTCTTTCTTGAACTATCATATAACTTAGAACATGGACTTCACTATTGCACCACTGAAGTTCAGCGAATAGCAATAGTAGAGACCTTAAGATTGCACCAAATAGTGGAGAGGTTAAGCTAACGATGTTTTTCACAACGTAACCGTGAACGCAAAGTACAAAAATTAACAAAGGAATGTATCGAG